GTTGTTCAATAATAAAATTATTCCTCAAAAATACAACTTGCCTAATAATTCTGCACTCCCTGTAGCTTGCAAAAAGCTACTGCATCATGGTATATACATAGGTTTTTATAGGACTGTTCAGAGTTCCCAGAAAACTTTCACTTGACTGCAGCTGCTGTATCTACAGATTATAGACCAAAGTTTTTCCCCATTGTCTAACTAAGATACAAAGTCAGCCTACCTTTAAATAAAGAAGCTGTTTTAATAAGATATAATTCAATAGTGTCAGTCATCACTATAATGAATAGCTTGCTAATGGATAATTGCTTTAACCAAATGTAATACTTAAGGGAAGAAAAGAAGGATTGACAAGGTGGATGACTACTATGTTTGCAAGCAACCGTGTCCTAGCTCCTCTTAAGAATCACTTGTATTTCCTCAGGCATGAACTGTACCTTAGAGAAGGTCCTGGCAGATGCCAAATCATTAGTGGAAAGGCTTCGCAACCATGACAACGCTGCTGAGATGTTAATCGAACAGACGACACATCTCAACAAGCGAGTAGAGGCCATGAAACAGGTAGGGTGTCACATGAACTTGGGGAAATGTGAGGCCTAAAGCATTTGATGTAGAATCCGTGAAGTTTCATTTGAAAAGCTGGAATAACATTTTTTAAAAAGTATTTCTAATTGTTATGATCTATCATTTTATATTTCAGACTGAAGGTTTTTGTGCTTGTTCTTTTTATTGATAGTACCAGGAAGAGATAGACACCCTGAATGAGGTTGCACGTCATCGGCCTCGTTCCAGTCTAGTCCTGGGAATCCAGCAGGAAAACCGGCAAATTAGGGAGCTCCAGCAGGAAAACAAAGGTAGGCAGTTTCCTTCAATGTCAACTCTCAGTCAGTGCATTTTTAGTTTCGCTTTGATTTGCAGAATATAAAGCTGGAATTTGATCCTTCCTGCAAATCAAACTTGTGTTCATACTTCATGTAGAGCTGCGTACATCATTGGAAGAACACCAGTCTGCCTTAGAGCTCATCATGACCAAATACAGGGAGCAGGTGTTCAGACTTCTCATGGCCAGTAAGAGAGACGACCCCGCCATCGTTACCCAGCTGAAGGAGCAGCATACTACGGTCAGTGTCTGGTGCAAGTACTTTTAATGTATTATTTTGCAATTTTTTTTACTTTTCTTGTGCATTAAAAAAAAATCATTGCAGGAAATGCAAGCACACATAGACAAGATCAACGAAATGGCCTCCGTGATGAGGAAAGCCATAGAGGTGGATGAGGAGCGAATATGTGAAGATGAGGAGAGGATTAAACAGCTAGAGGTAAAAGCCGAGCAGCATTACTTCAGTTGTTCCAAAGCTTTGAGACCAGGGGAAGGTACAAAAAATCCACAGAAGTTACAAATCCACCCAAAAAAATGTCTGTTCATGTGACACAGAGGATCACAAGTGTCAAAGAAATTGACACTTGACACAAATGCCAATAAAAGTCATCAGTAGAAACTTAAATGATCAAGCCTCTGAGGGGTGGAATCAAAACTGGATCACAAGTCATAGTTAAAAAATGTTCATATGCTCTGTTATTTATTCATTTATTTATTTAAACAGTATATTTAGTGTGAGTTTGGAGTTTAAAAATGAACTAAAGCTTCATGTTGAGTTGAGATGTCAAAGCAGATCTTAACAGGGCATTTAAATTAAAAATTAGCCTTTTTATTTACATTTCCTCCTAGCTTTGTTTTTGTCCCTTTGACCTACTTTGTTATTTAGACATCCTGCCTCTCTATTTTCAAGGTTCTTTATTTGTCACATGCATAGTTATACAAGTATAACACACAGTGAAATGTAGCCTGACACGCTCCTC